CTTAGAGAGGCCTGAAAGGCCTATGAAGCGGTATATAAGTCTACTGCTATTGCTATTGCTAAACATAAGAACATCTCAGTCAGAACACATTGACAAAGAAACAATAGCAATAGCTGGAATAAAATTAACTTCAGTGAAAAGTTACCTTAATTAATTGGATTTTTTTAACACTCTGCAAATAACAGGTCCTGGCCTGCCCTACTTCACCTTGCAAAACAGCAGTACAGACAAAGGTATTTTATTTTATTTTTTTCCTCCTTTAGAACAACATGAATGCCTGTCTATTCTGGGATATTTATGATCTATTGTTTGTAATATTTTCTCTATACATATCTTACAGTAAGATCAATTATACATAATTAGCTTTATTTCTGGTATGAATGCATGAGATTACACTTTGGGGATGTAATTCAGTGACCGTCCCCAGTCGGGTGCATGCATGTGATGGGGTTTAGTTCCCATCACACCTGAAAGCAATTCAAATTGCTGTTTGGCTGCCAACAATGGGGCTTCTAGCCTAACATGTCTGCAGGGCATCAATTTAAGAAAGCTTGATTTGATTTGTCTAATGCACACTATTTAGAAGTAAATCCCTGAGGTAGAATGAGATTCATTACTAAGAAGCTGTAACTGGTGTGTTAAAGGCATCAATGTAATATGTCACTATAATTTATATAACTTGATGAGAAAAAAATGATACCAACGCACACACATATTGCAAGGAGATCAAATTTCCAATAATAGCTGGCAAAAGAGTACAAACCTGGGACAAAATATCACAATCACAAGAGATTGTGATATGTTTTTTAAATGCATGTAGCAATTCTGACAAGCTGAGATTGTTGCCAGCTGAGCTCATATTTTTTTGAGCTGGTGCTACTTAGATCTTGAATGTTACCGCATTGTTGAGGAACGCTCCAGTTGGTATGAAAAGAAATATATTTGTGGGAAAGAATTTGGATTGTTCTTTCTGTTGATTTAAGTGTGTGTTGTTTGCTCTTCCCTTTCCTCCCCTGCTTGTAATTAATATTTGAAATCAGAGCCATTTTTTTCCCATCAATCATCTCCTACACATTTGCTAGGAAGTAAGTCCTACTTCCAGATAGGAAGCACAATGGCTTAGCAGTTAAATATGCTGAGCTCATCAGCTGGAAAGTTGACAGCCTGTGTTTGAGTCCTGAGTACCACACAGCAGGGGGTAAGCTCCCGTTACTTGCCCCAACTCCGGAACACCTAACAATTCGAAAGCCTGCAAAGCCTGCAAATGCAAGTAGGTAAGTAAGTACACCGCTTTGGTGGGAAGGTAATTGGCATATAGTCATGCTGACCACCTGACCATGGAACTGTCTTCAGGCAACCCTGATTCCCTCAGTTAAAGAAATGGAGATGAGCACACACACACACACCTAGGTAATTTGATTTTTAAAACCAGCTCTCTGTGTTGTTTTGATTCTTTGTCTTATCAAATATATCTGTTTTAATCCTAGCTATTAAGACCCTAGAAAATAATGATCATTTGAGAAATGCATTGAGAGAAATTCAGATGCCCACCAAAATACTGAGAAATATTACTCTGCATGGACAAAGTAAGTTTGCAAACCAAATGTATTTTTGTAAAAAAAAAAAAAGAAACAAATCATTTTAAAAAAACCCTGAATAAAACAGTGTATTTACATAGCTTTTTGAAATCATAATTTTGAATGACATGGATGTTTTGCATCTCTTTATTATTATCAGCTGTGCCTTAGATTTCTCCTATGATTCATAACAGGAAAGGAGCCATTAAGCTTTAAAATTTGTAATATGAGACTTTGTAGATAAAGTTCAAGCAGCTTGCTTAGATAACATTGGTGAAACCAGGGTTATCTTTTTCTTGACACCTCCATGAATTCCTGCTTTCAATTGAAGGCTGTAAGCTATTTCAGGTGTGCTGATTCAGGATATATGATGTCTGCAGCCTGAGTGCGATTCTGTTTATTGTCATGCTGATAGGTACCTGTTGGTTTCAGCTTGCACTTTGGACTGGGAAGGTCAGAACTGCAACCAACACCCAAAAGTAATGATTACTCTGAAACATTTATCTTAATTCAGAAGGGCAGAAAGTGAGGCAGTTGAATGTTGTGCTTGTAAAGTTGCCCCATTCACCCATTTCCAAACCTACCTTCCTTCCTAGTTTTTTTTATTTATTTGTCAACATGTACAAGGTAACAGGTATTAGTATACACATGGACATTATTGCATGAGATTGGCACAAATAGATGGATATAAATAAGTATAACATGGCCATGAACACATAAAATGAGTACACATCAATGGGGACAGTAGGACAGGGAGGATAGGCATATTGGTGCACTTATGCACGCCCCATTAGGGACCTCTTAGGAAATGTGTGAGGTCCACGGTGGACAGTTTAAAGTTAAATTCCTTCCTCCCTTCCTCCCTTTTATTTATTTATTTTTACAAATAACTCAAGATGGTGAACATATCCAACACATTCTCCTGCTCCTATTTTTCCCACAATAACAAGAATCCTGTTATTGTGAGGTAAGTAAGACTGAGAGAGAATGACTGGCCCAGAGTCACCCAGCTGGCTTTCATGGCTAAGGTGGGACATTTTAGCCTCGTGCCTTAACCACTAAACCAATCCTTCCTTCCTTCCTTCCTTCCTTCCTTCCTTCCTTCCTTCCTTCCTTCCTTCCTT